TTTTTTGTTTTCTTTGAAAACATTGAAAACAAATTTTTATTTTCGGTTTTGTGCTTCATTTTGAGAACACTTCTTGAGAAAATAGTTTCTAAAATCAAACTAAATGTATTTTCACTACAAATTTCATTTTTACTGAAAATGAAAACAGAAAATAGAAAACAGACCATACCAAACAACCCCTTAATTTTCTGTGTCAATACATCATTGATTTAATTTTAAATCTTTTGTAATCTAGATTATCTTAAGATGTTCCCTAAGTGAAGTTCTGTTGCAGGGTGCTAATGGGCTTCTAGTTCCAGGAGGTTTTGGTGAAAGAGGAGTGAAAGGGAAAATTCTTGCTGCTAAGTATGCTCGAGAAAATAGAGTTCCATTTCTGGGCATTTGCTTAGGGATGCAAATTGTTGAGTTTTCAAGATCTGTTCTGGGTCTTCATGATGCTAATAGCATAGAATTTGATCCAAAAACCAAAAACCTGTGTGTCATATTTATGCCTGAAGTATATTTCTGTCTACTCATTATGGTAATAGTCTTCCTTGGATAATTTAGTTTAGGTGTGCTTGCAAAGATTCAATCTCTTCTCCACCGTTTTCGACCCATTCCAAAATCAGGTTTCTTCGTTTCCAACTCCCATGCATAAATATATCCATTATATCTCACATTTGCTTGTTGTGTTGAAAATGTCTGTAAACTGAGATCCATTTTCCTATATGTTGCCACTTGATCTGTGAGGAATTGAAGTACTACTTTCGGTCTTTTCTGGAATGTAGTGAATGAATCTCTTTCCCTTTGTTTTATTCATTTATTATCTTTTACGATCTATGAAATTTCAGGTTATTGAATTTGTTAAGAGACATGTTAGTGCATACACACCTCTCTTAGCCGGAAATTCAATATATGTTGATTTTCAATTTCTGAAGGTATTGATTCTGCCATAGTAATTTCTAGATAGTGGCTTTGCTGAAGTGTAGTTAATTTCTATATTCTAATAATCATAATGTTTTTCGGCTTGAGATTTTGGATCAGTTGCAGTGCTTATGTTGAAGTTGGGAATTCCCACTTATCATATTTTTGAACATCATTATGCATACATTTTTTTTAAAATTTATTCAGTATATTAGAATTTTTTATAATTGGATATTTATTCTAAATTAATGGGATATATTTTTTTTGTGCTTATCAGGCTGTGCGAGGGCGGAGAATTACTTGACAGAATTCTAGATAAGTAAATTTGAAAGGCTATTTTTCATTTGTACCATTCGTAGTTTTGTACTTTTGTGGTCAACACTTTTAGATTTTGAAATATTGATAGTGTAATGGAGGACTAGTATTATTATTATCCTAAAAAAATAGTAGTATTATTATTACTGTCTAACTTGCTCTATTTTTATCATATAATGTGCATGTAGAAATAAATTTAATAGTGTAGAAATAATATGCATAATTGCTATGGGTATTTAGATTTTAAAGATGTTTGATTTCATATTGTGGTTATAGGATATTTAAAGAAACCTGAGAAGTGATTTTATTAATATTTCTGACCAGGTAAAACTATTTATAAAGATTGGTGTGGAAAGGTAAACAAAACAATTCATGCTATGTTGAAATCAGTTATCTAAGGTAGGTAAGTTATCTACGGAAATTTCCGTAGATAAGTTACCTACGGAAATTTTTGTAGATAACTTACCTACGGAAATTTCTATAGATAAGTTATCTATGGAAATTTCCGTAGATAAGTTACCTACGGAAATTTCCGTAGGTAAGTTATCTACGGAAATTTTCGTAGATAAGTTACCTACAGAAATTTCCATAGGTAAGTTATCTACGCAAATTTCCGTAGATAAACGCATCCGTAGATAAATTCCGTAGATAAACGCATCCGTAGATAAATTCTATATCCGTAGATAAAATCCGTAGATAATGTTATCTACGAAAAATTTTCCGTAGATAACGTTATCTACGACCTTATTATCTACAAATTTTTTTTCGTAGATAATCCGTAGATAATTATCAGTTATCTACGGATTTTCATCATTATCTACGGATTTTTTCCGTAGATAATGTTGATTTTTCTTGTAGTGATACTTGGTATGGGAGCAGGTCAGGGCTAGCTTGGAGTTGAGGTGACCTCTGCGAGACAGGGAGCTTGATCCTCGTGTTAGAGTTACCATTTTCGTAACGGTTTTATCTGTGCTTGACTGGCACTAGGGTCATATTATTTTTGGGATAACTGTACATATATGGTGTTTTATTTTAAGAAACTTAGTTATTTTTATATATACTTGTATGTGTGAGTTATCTAGCTTAATATTTCTCGTAGTTCACTAGTAGTAGTGCGATTCCACTAAGTGTAGAGACCATGGCGGGTCGTTACACTTTTATGGTATCAGAGTCGGTCGAGTCTTTTGGGGTACTCTGTGGGGAGTGTTCCTTCTAGGTTTCTATTGTGTCATATCTCTGATATGTGTTAGTTTTGGTGAGTTGTAGTGGTGAAGTGTTAGTAAAAGAATGTTTTAATTCTTTTAGTATGGTGAGGCCTCATTTTGATCAGATCGCTAGGGCTATGGAGATGATGGCCATGGTGATGCAGCATCAAAGTGCTCACTTTGCTCAGATGGAGGCAGGTAAAGCTGCGATTGAGGCAGCTAGACCGGTGGTCTCTCAAGATGGGAGAGATTTAGCAGAGTTTAAGAGATGTTAGCTTCCTCAATTCAAGGGGGGATTCAGATCTTGATGTGGCAGATTAGTGGTTGTGTGAGATGGAGAAGATCTTCAGTGTTTTGAGATCTTCTGATGAGAGGAAGTTGGCCTATGCAGTATATATACTGGTAGGTGAGGCTAAGTACTTGTGGAGAGGCACCAAACAGATGTTAGAGAGCAGTGGTGTACCTGCTGATTGGGATTGCTTCAGGGGGTCCTTTTGGAGAAGTATTTCCCAGATAGTGTTAGACACGCTAAGAAGGTAGAGTTCCTGAGACTACATCAGGGGAGCTTGTCTGTTTTTGAGTATGCTATGAGGTTTGAGCATCTGGCTCATTTATACTCTCAGGCCATGTATGAGGCTTGGAGATGTAGGAAGTTTGCAGAGGGATTGAGGCATGAGCTGAAGAGGGTCATAGTCCCTATGTCCATAGAGGAATTTCCTGCCTTGGTTGAGAAGGCAAAGACTGTTGAGAGATTGAAGGGTGGTGGTAGCAGCGGTAAGGCTGTTAGAGTTCAGGAGGGATCATCCAGATCTAGGAGGGGAGGTCAGCAGAGAGGACCCTATGACAGGCCTGTTCAGTCTCAGAGAGAAGCTATTTGTAGGGGACCTCATCCTGCTACTCCTCAGGGTGGAGCACAGTCGATGCAGTGTTACAGATGTGGAGAAACCCACATGGTTAGAGATTGTTCCCATTTGGAGAATTTTTTTTTTCCAGATGTGGCAGGTCAGGCCACATTTCCAGAGATTATCAAATGCCACCGACTCCATCTAGAGTGTCTCGAGGCCAGTCAGGCCTACGGTTGTGGGGAGAGTGTTTGCTTTATCAAGTGTAGAGACTTCCACTTTATCAGATTTGGTTAAAAGGAAAGGGAAGGCAGCAGGTGAGGATGTCTTGTTCCTGTTTGATTCTAGTGCCATACATTCATTTATTTCTGTTGATTGTGTGGGGAGATTGGGTTGTCGGTGTATGCATTACACGTTGATTTGTATGTATCTACTCCAGCTTCAATTTCTTTGGTGACATCGGAGATGTGTGTGAGATGCCCGATAGAGGTGTTTGGTAGGAGGTTCCGAGTGAACCTGATTGTGTTGCTCATAGTAGATATTGACATAATCTTAGGGATGAATTGGTTATCTATCCATCACATCCTTATAGATTGTGCTCGGAGAGAGTTGGTATTCCCTTAGTTTAAGGATGAGGTGATATTATCAGCGGGTCAGGCTGAGCAGTTGATAAGAGATGGAGCTGAGTGCTTCATGTTGTTTTTCGCCTTGAGTGTTGAGACGGAGATGGTCATCATTGGGATTAAGATTGTTAGTGAGTTCCTGAGGTTTCCCAAATGATGTGCTGGGATTGCCACCTATGCATGATGTTGAGTTTAGCATTGATCTGGACCAGGTGCAGGACCAGTATCAGTGGCTCCTTATAGGATGGCTCTAGCTAAGTTGGTAGAGCTGAAGAAACAGATTGAGGATTTGTTGGAGAAATAGATGGGGAGGCCTAGTATTTCTCCTTGGGGTGCTTTAGTATTGTTAGCGAAGAAGAAGGATGGTGGGGCCCGTTTGTGTGTTGATTATTGGAAACTGAATAAGTTAACGATAAAGAATAAGTATCCACTTCTGAGGATTGATGATTTGATGGATCAGCTGAGGGGAGCTTTGGTATTTTCGAAGATTGATTTGAGATCCGGATACCATCAGATCAGGGTAAAGGAGAGTGACATACCGAAGACTGCTTTCAGGACTAGGTATGGTCACTGTGAGTATATAGTGATGTCTTTCGGTGTCACTAATGCTCCATCAGTGTTCATAGATTACATGAACAGGATTTTCAGGTCAATCTTGGACATGTTTGTGGTGGTCTTCATTGATGATATATTGGTGTATTCTAGATCTTTGGAGGATCATCATGAGCATCTGAAGTTGGTTTTAGAGGTGCTGAGGGAGAGGTAGTTGTATTCCAAGTTGTCCAAGTGTGAGTTTTGATTGTTTGAGGTGAGGTTTGGGGCATGTGATATCGACAGAGGGGATTGCAGTGGATCTAACCAAGGTGGAGGCTGTGATTCAGTGGGAGCGTCTGAGGACTGTTACGGAGATTAGAAGTTTTGTTGGGTTAACGGGTTATTATCAGAGATTCATAGAGGGTTTCTCTCGAATAGTAATGCCTTTGACTTAACTGACTCGGAAGGATCAGCTTTTTGTTTGGATGGACGCTTGTGAGCAGAGTTTTCAGGAATTGAAGGGGTGATTGACTACTTCTCCAGTTTTGGTGTTACTTGACACTGGTGAGTATTTTGAAGTGTTCTGTGATACTTCTCACCAGGGGTTGGGCGGTGTGTTGATGCAGGGAGGGAGAGTAGTGACATATGTTTCAAGGCAACTTAAGACTCATGAGAGGAATTATCCTACTCATGATTTGGAGCTTGCAGTTGTGGTGTTTGCCTTGAAGTCGTGGAGGCATTATCTGTATGGTGCGAGATTCAGTGTATTTAGTGATCACAAGAGTTTAGAGTACCTGTTTGATCAGAAGGAGTTGAATATGAGGCAGAGGAGGTGGATGGAATTTCTAAAGGACTTTGATTTCCAGTTGATGTATCATCCTGGGAAGGTGAGTGTGGTAGCAAAGGTATTGATTAGGAAATCCATTCATATGTCGGCTATGATGATTAGGGAGTTGGATCTGATTGAGAAGTTCAGAGATTTGAGACTAGAGGTGGAGGTTGTTCAAGATCACATTAGTTGTGGTATGATCACCATAACTAATGAGTTCTTGAGCTAGGTGGGAACTAAGCAATTACAGGATCCAGAGTTGTTGAGGATTTTGGAATTGCTTGGTACCGAGAGGGCAGCTGGTTTTGAGCTTAGTGTTGATGGAGATTCCCGAGTAGAAGTGTGATAGTGTCACTAAGGACTTTGTGGTTGGGTTGTCTAGGACAGCTAGGAACAGTGACTTTATCTGGGTGATTGTTGATAGGTTAACAAAGTTTACGCACTTTCTTCCTATCAAGAGGTAGTCCTTGGAAAGGCTTGAACAGTTGTATATTAGAGAGATAGTATGGTTGCATGGAGTGTTTTCCAGTATTATTTCTGACAAAGATCCAAGGTTTACTTCCAAGTTGGCAGACTCTGCATCAGGCTTTGCGGACGAGGTTGAGGTTGAGCTCTGCTTATCATCCACAGACAGATGGTCAGTCGGAGAGGACAATTCAGTCACTAGAGGATCTCTTGAGAGCTTGTGTGTTGGATCATCTGGGTAGCTGGGAGGAGGTGTTACCATTGGTAGAGTTTACCTACAAAAACAGTTATCACTCGAGTATTGGCATGGTGTCTTTTGAGGCTTTGTATGGCAGGGGGTGTAGGACTCCATTATGTTGGTATTAGGAGGGTGAGTTAGTAGTGGTTGGTCCAGAGTTAGTTCTTCAAACTACTGAGATGGTGAGATAGATTCAGGAAAGGTTGAGGGCTACCCAGAGTCGATAAAAGTCCTATGCTGATAGGAGGAGGAGACCTCTAGAATCTGAAGAGGGAGAGCATGTGTTTCACATTTCACAGTTGAGGAAGTACATCAGAGACCCGAGTCAAGT